CTAGGAGCATCCATGTTGCTGCAAATGGCATTATGTTGTCGGTTTTTATGGCTGAGTAGTATTCCATTGTATAAATATACCACATCTTCTTTATCCAGTCACCTGTTGATGGACATTTAGGCTGTTTCCATGTTTTGGCTATTGTAAATAGTGCTGCTATGAACATTGGGGTGCAGGTGTCATCCTGAAGTAGATTTCCTTCTGGGTACAAGCCCAGGAGTGGGATTCCTGGGTCATATGGTAAGTCTATTCCTAGCAATATAAATATTCTTGACGTTAGTAGAAGTTAATGATGTTAATTTTTAGATTAATACTGAAGAATTCAAACATACTCAGATACGACATTCTGTATCTAAACAAAGATTTCTCCTGGGTCTTGCCTATAGTAAACTATTATGGAGCCAAATTAACAACTAGATTCAAGTACTAGATCATACCACTGGACTCTAAGGTACACTTGAGGGCAGATGTTTCCTTCTTTCTAGAAGCCTGATTGACCTCTACTGGGAACAGCTTTTGGGGAAAACAGGGATGGGACCAGAGATCATGACCTGTGATCTCTGGGAGAGAATGGCCCTGGGCCAGGCTGGCGTGTATGGGTCTCAGTCAGTAGGGCCGCACTTTATTAGGACAGATGCCAGGGCTGAGGAGGAAGTAACTGCAGCTGCAGTAACACTGCTGAGGCCTGCATGGGCCACACATTCTTACCTGAGTAGTCAGTTATCAGTGCTGTTGGACTGGAAAACTGGGGATACACTGTGAATAATACCTCTCAGATTTTAAGATTTACAGGATGGTACGGGAGGAGGTTAACAAAGAGGATGAGTTATCCTCATCAAAATGGCTAATGTGTGACTTGACTACCCCCTTGAAGGAGTAAGTGAAAGCATTTGCGTGAAGTACACATGCCTGGGCTGGGCACGTACCAGGTGCCCAGTGTCAGGTCTGTGCCTCCGGAAGTGGAGTGAGGCTCTCTGGCCTGACCTGGGTGCAAAAAGTGCAGCTCACAGATCTTCCAGCAGTGTCTCCATGCACTGATGGGCTAACTCAGTTGTGTGTCCCTAAGGGGCACAGAGAGCCCCAGTAGTAATTACCAGCTAGATGTTCTCCCGGTTTCAGTGACTTCTGAGACAGCTTCAGGCGACGATGTGATGATGAGCTCATGGTTTTTTCCACTGCCAGTGCCTTTAACTCCCTGATGGGTCTGCTTTGTTTGAATCCGGTAAATAAAGCTGCTGTAATTGCTAAAGGTGAGAGCTTTTTCATTTGTATGTGTGTATATTTTTCTCATTTTAAAGTTTCCTTCACTATGTTTTTTGTGTATATGAAATACTCTAAAAAGAGAAAAAAATAAAAACATGAATAATCTGCACCCAGCCAGTGATTTTGGCCTGCTGTGTATGCTTCTGTCTCTTTCACCATGCCCACATAAATATATATATAAATTTATATATATATGTTTTTCCTTTTTTACTGAAGTGAGGTTATATGTAAACACACACATATTAGTATATTCTTTGTTCACACAGTAGATTGTAATAGACATCACTCTAGGTCGGCAGCTATAGATTAAAAACTAATGACTCAATTTTAGTAACATGATACAGTACAGTCTGGATATACCACTGAGTATATGATTATTCTCCTATAGTTGGTTTCACTCCTCTTATTTGCCCCTATTAACATTTCTGTATTGCTTTTGTCTGTATATCCTTTGACGCTTTTATTTTGTGTGTTCTGTGATGTAGTTTTAAAAGTAGAACTGTTGGGGTTAAAAAACCTGTATTAATATTAATAAATGCTGCCACATTTTCTAAAGCATTGTAGCCGTTTACATTCCCTTCAGCAATATGTGAGTCTGTGTGTATATGTCTCCTCTCTCCCTCCCTATGACCATCGGCTTTTTGTCCAGATGGCCACAGGCTTTTTTATTTTTTAAGTAGGAGAACTTTACTAGGTTGTGTTTCATTGTTGATCATTGTTGATATTTTACCTAGGACACTGCACCTTTCATTCTGTAAGTTTATCTTTTATTTCTCCAGTAGTTTCTTGATTTTATCTTTTAAGTCTTTGTTCTGTTCCATTTCTTTGGTTGTCTTCTTCAGGACCCCTGTCTCACTTCGGTATCGTCATTTTCCTTTCTTTGCTCACCTTTCTCTGTCCTGACCTCTAAACTCCATGCCATATTCTCAGTCTCTTCTCTGTTGTGTTGTTTCCAACAGGGCGTTTATTTCTATAGTGCATTTTTTTTATTTTTCAATCTGATTAGCCAGAATTCAAGTGCTCAGTAGCCTTCTGTGGTCAGCAGCTACTATATTGGGAGCACAGTTCTAGAAATGGACTAGAGGCTTGGCGTTCTGTTGACTTGACTCACTCCCGTATTCTCCAAGGTGCTCCAGTCCCTCAGGTATCTCTGGGGAAGCCTCAGGCTCTAAATTTGAAAGCCACTGCAATAGTAAAAACTACATCATAGGTGAGGTGAGTTTCATGTAGAAATGACCTCAGACTCTAACTTGTACTGTAGAGTTTGGGGATTCCCTGTCCAGACTCTAATATCAAGGGGACTGGATGGACCCTGTGACATACAGCTGGGATTATAAAATGCTGAAAAACCAGTATCTATTGAATTATAAGGATTATCTGAAAAAGGCTATGTAGGCAGAGATAGGTGGTCTTCTGGAGCCTATCTAAGGGAGCTCCTGTGCCATGAAGTATCAGTGTTCAGTGTTGTCCCAGGAGAGGGGCTGATAGGATGTAATGGGTCTATCCCTGCAGCAGAAATGGGAGCTCTAGATGGTCATAGCTCCCTGCCCCTTACCCCTAAGTTCCCTGGCTCTGATCCCAAGCTCTCCTAGCTTCAAATGATGAATGGCTTCTTGAAGAGATTTCCTAAAGGGCAGAATGTACTCATTAGAGGATCCCACTATCATCTATTTGGCAGGTGTGTCCTTCACTCAAATTAATAAACTGGCATCCTGTTAGAAATTAGTTCTTGCCAACTGTCCAGCCAGATTCCATTTTCAGAAACACAGACTAAATGGGATTTCTGAAAGCTGCAGAACTAAGGGAGGCACTCAGGACCATGCTGACTCCACCACAGTACTCACCCAGGACTCCAGGTACTCAGCCAGCCCTGGTTAACACCACACTCTGGTCTGTGCTAAACTCAAGATATGAGGGGACTAAGTCTAGAACTGTCTGTGAGAAGATCAGATGAGAAGGATCAGAGTGTGTGACATCAGTAGTTGGGCACTATATAGGGATTTCCTAATTAGTACTGCTCAGTTCAAAAGAAATTAAGGCAGTTCCCCTTCAAATATGCGTGGCTTTCTGCTGCTGTGAGATGGTGCCACCTCTTGGATATAATATGAAAATCTAGCTTTAAAAAATTTTAGTCTCTAGTCACATGCATTAAAAAAATTTGAAGTGGGGGGCCATGGTGGGTACTTACATGGGTGGTACCTACTTTTCTGAGTCCTGTTCTTATTAAATATATACATTTTTTCAACATTATTTGTATTTAAGTATATTTTCCTTTCATAAAAACTGAAGTATAGTTGATTTACAATGTTGTATTAGTTCCAGGTGTACAGAAATATATATTTTCCTTTTTAGTAGCCTCTTCATCATTTGCAATTAAAGTTTCTTAAAGATATATTTTTCATTTCTTGCTTTTATTGTTTTTCAACTTGCTTTTTCAACTTCTCCAAGATCTCTTCTGGAGTTGTGGAGGCCAAAAGCTTCACCACTTTTTCGCGAGATTTACCACCCTGGACCAAAAGGAAAAAACGGTGTCAGGGTAACACCCAAAACTTTCTAATGCTGTTAGAGACAGCAGACCTCAGTTGTCTCCATCGTGGCCACATCCTCATGGGGTTGTTTAACAAGCAGGCTGGAGCTTTCCTGACAGCTTAGTGCCCACTCTCTCCTAACCATTTCTGGTTTAACCGAAGATGATCTCTTAGATTCCACCTTACTACAGTTTTTTACAACTCTTCAGAGTTTCTACCTTCATACATCAATTTCTGTAATAATACAAACTAGACATTCAATTTTCAAAATGAATATGGAATCCAGATGTACAGTATTCTGGTTTCAAGTAATACTTTTGTTTAAATTATTTTTTAAATTACCAAAACGTCATAATTTTATATAAACTTTGTATACAAATAATTCCAAATGTAGAACTGCTATTCTCTACACGTTTCTGAAAATTCTGAACAAAAAGCGATGACATATCCAAGTGCTGTGATGCCACAACTGCTTAAGACGATTTTAAGAAGGATTTGTTTTGAAAGAAGGTAAACTTTGAGCAGGTATTTATCTGGGTGGGTAGAAGCTGCACAGGTGGAAGAGGAGTCGTGCCTTTTAGGCAGATGTCAGAGCATGTACACTGGCAGAAAATCAGATGACCTGCTCCGGGGCAGGGGGGCGGGGCGTGGAGATGTTGAGGGAAGTGGCCTGACCAGATGGATTTTTAGATGCAGCCTTCTAATCAGGACTGACTGCCAGCTAGAACCTGGATAGGAGTTATAGATTACAGCACTGGAAAACAAGTAGAGCATTAAGAAACACACACATGGCTGCGCCTCACTCCTGAAGATTCTGTTTCAATCAGTCCAGGGTGATGCCTGGAACCTGTGTTTCAGAAATCATTCCCAGGTGATTTTGATATCCACCCTAGTGCAAACCCATGGTATTAATGACTGTATGAATGAGCCATCTCTCTTCCTAAAGAGCTTCTAGTAAGCAAGGATAACATGGACCAGAAATGCTGGATGAACTCACTAATGGAGATGAAAAACAAAGGGAAGCATTTTAGATTTTCCTAGTATGGTGATGACTTGAGGGAAGAGATGAGCAGACTTAATCTGACAGCAGATACAGGAATGAATTCAGAAAGAAGAAAATGATGGAAATGGTGGCAGTTAAGGAATGTAAGTATAAAGTGTGGCCAGTCTAGAGGACTCAGGCAGTAGGAATGAAGGAGACTAAATAGGAATAATTTACAGATCTTAGTGATTAAATGAATATGAGAGTTTAAAACAACTGGTTTTTCAATTATTTGGAAAAGGGAAAAAAATCAGTATTTTAAAAATAATGGCTGATGTAGTAATCAAAGATGTTTAGAGGAAGAGAGAGACCTACCTTGTCCAAAACCACATCACTCTTCCTGAGTTCTAGGACCTTGGAAAGATACCGGCAGAGCTCAGCGTTAGCCTCTCCTTCCGCTGGAGGCGCTGCAATAGCCACACTTACAGCCTCGGCTGTCACATCTGGAATGAAAACAGTGTGGACTTGATTCTTAGGGAGTTCTTTTTCTTCATGAAGTGAGGATACTCTGTGAAAGTGTTTGCAACTGCCTGGCATATACTAGGTTTTCAGTTAACAACTTGAATGAAGAAATGAATGATTAATCACAGTTAAGGGAACAAAGTCATGACTGACAATGCACCTACCATGACAGTAAAGAAAGCCCAGAGAAGAAAATCGGTATGTACCCCACCCTGCTGACCTAGATGGGCCTAGAGTCCTGGGCAGTGAGTTGGATTTAGGAACTGGAAACCACGCATGGTCTGGTGGGAAGAGCCCTGGGCAGGGATGAGTTGGGTTTTACCCCCAGCCACGTCACTGAGGAAGTGGATGAACAAGGCAGCTCATGAGATTGTACGGGGTTGTTCAGGGTTTCCCCATCAGGAAAATGAGAGCGCTGGACTGGATTTAACTCTTACGTGAATTACCTCTTTAATGTTTTTAAAATGTAGTATTTAGTTAACATTTACACAGCACTTATATATACTGATTTTAAGAGCACACAAACATAAGGGCTTTACAATAATAAATTTGTTTAATCCTGTAAGTTTATGAAGATACTAATACCTTTATCATCTCCATTTTACAAATGAGGAAATTGGAACTGAGAAGTAATGTGTTCAGGGTCACATGGTTAGAAAGTGATGTTCTGATTCAAAAATAAATTTGTATTCATGTTTTGAAATCTAGGGACAACAAATACCACTTTCTGAGGAGTGGTCCTGACTCACCCATCAATATAGCCTTTATAAACTATAACTCAAACAACTCAAACTTTAACATCTTTTATGGTGCATAGTTACACAGTGTTTAAAGATCAAACACTTGGGGTAATGTAATAGCTCAGTGGGAGAGCACCTGCTTAGCATGCACAAAGTCCTGGGTTCAATCCCTAGTACCTCTGTTTGAAAAAAAAAAAAAAGTCTTCCAGTTATTTCTGAGAGAGAGAAGTATATAGTCAGAACAGTTTGCAAATGAGCTTAAGCTGGTCCTACATCTGGGGTTACTTGGGCATTTCCACACACTGACATCTTGCCTGTGTAAACATGGCCAGAGAATTCACAGGAATAAGATGGTAAAACAACCCTCCTCCTATCCTGTCACTGGTTCTAAGCTGTACAGTTTTTCACATTTTAATATCTCTGAAATCCAGATGTATCTTAGATGCAAAAGAAAATGTTTAGTTGATGTGGATTCTGTCTTTCTTACTAGTACATAAAATATTTGTGTACCTTCTAGTTGATGGCTTCTCAGATTTGATGAAACATGGTATTCCAACAGTACACAGTGTCCACAATGACTACCAAGAAAATGCTGGCCAAGGAAGGCACGGCTGACAAGTAGCCAAGCTAACATGGTCATTAGCCCAAACCAGGCCTAGCACCCCAATTCTGAGATCTTGTTTTCAAAATACTAAAAAAAAAAAAAAAAAAAAAAAAAAAAAAAAGTTGGAATACAGAGCTTTAGCTTTAGTGGTGAAAAAGACTTTCAGGATAACAGATCAATGGTTTTCAAACTTTTTTCCCACTCAGAATCCTCCTCACCCCACCCAATTTCCTCTGAAACTCCAACATTTAAAACAAACGTAAATGTCCTGTCTGCCGACCTCCCCTTGTCCACCACACAGATTCCTGAGGCACCTGGGCTCCAGGGAATAACTTAAAAGCTTCTAACAGCCCAACTATCTCATCTGACAGATGAGAACAATTGGTTCAGAAATATTTTGTGTTGTTTTGATTTAAAACAAAGTTCACACAGGGGTTGATGATAAAGTTCACAGATCTCAGGCTTTCTCTCCCTCCTTGGGCCAATGTCTCCACTTGTAGGATAGGACAACCTAAGAATAATCTAGGCTACACAGGTTTCTATATATGTTCTTTCTAAAATACCTTTTTAAAAAACTGAGGTATAATTGACATATAACTTACTATTTTCAGGTTTACAACATAATGACTCGATATCTGTATACATTTTGAATTGATCACCACACGAAGTTTGGTTAATAAAATACCACATTAAAAGGAAAATATACAATGGGTTTTCTAATTTGGTATGCTTTGAATATGGTATATTCACTTTTAAACACTAGATTTACACCTTTACATTAGAATCTAGAATTTAAAAATGGAGAAGCCTCTCTAACTGCAGATGTGAAAAATGTACCTGACCACATAGGAGAAACTTCCAGCAAACCAAGCAAGGCAAAGGGAGGATCGAGGGGGACAACCAGTTCACACAACGTTCCCACCCCAGTGTCGAGATATACCTGTCACAGCATTTTGTTTGGAACCAGGTTTGGCATGGACGGCTATGGTGACACAACCTTTAGGATCAACTGCCACAGGACCTAAGGGAGGAAGTGGTCTCTCTGGTTCCTTGCTCTGGCTTTTACCCTAAAACGACAACAACAACCACACTACAACTTTACAGGTTACAAAATGCTTTCCCACACATTTGATCTTTCCAGAATTCTCTTTCACCCTTAACCAAGACAAACTAGGCTAATTAGTAGTGTCCAGGGATTTCTGGCCACCTAGAATGGTTTTACAACATCCCCCATGGCTCAAATCAATTCTTCCATGAAGCCTTCCCATCAATCCCCCAGTGTTTTTTTCCTGCCTTGGAAGACCTGACTTAGTGCTGGTTCCTACGTCTGCCTTGTATTTCCCATTATTCAGGAGCAGGCACCATTTATTATTCATCCCTGTATCTCAAACAGCACAAGTTAACAAATGTTTGTGACCAGCTATGGCTGGAAGTGTGCATACATCTGTGTTTTGGGAGGGGCTAGGGAAGAGGAAAGAACAGTGATATTTAAACGGCTACTATGTGCCAGAAGCTGTACTAGAACTTTCCATTCAACAAATGTGACCTAAGCGCCAGGGTGGTATGTAGGTAAAGGATATGTAAAGATGAATAAGGACACATGGTCCTTACGCTCAGGGAGCTCAGACGGCAGCGAGGGAGAAAGAACAAATACCATTCTAATACACTACGCTAAGAGCGCCGACGAGAAACGCACAGGGCATGACTGCAGAGGGGGAAGGCAGTCCAGCCTTGGGACACTGAGAAGCTGCCGGCAGGAGGCAGTCTCAGGATGAGATAATGAGCCAAGTCTCAGGACCCGACTGGAGTCAGTCCCTCACGGCCGGTGGAAGGCAAGTGGGAGTGGTGTATTCTTGACGGGGGGATGCGGCGACCAACCAAGGAAAGGAGACAGAACGCGGACTAGGGCCTCCAGGGGAAGCACAGGCCGAACGGCGCTGTCGGAACACGAAGCGCTAGCCTGGGCGGATGGGAGTGACGCCGGAGGGATCGGCAGCCACGGCACAGGGAGGGTCTCGCGGGCCGCGGGCCCGGGCGCTCCGACTTGCCCCGGCGGAGAGCGGCGCAGCCGAGTGACACTGGGAGCAGGCTCCCCGGAACTCAGGGACAACAAGCAGCTGGCGGTGCTTCTACCCACCCTTGGGTCCCGCTTCTCCCCCGCGATCCTCTCTGCGGCCCACCCTCCTGCCGCCACCAGACTTGCCACTGGCCTTGTTCGTCGCACCGGCTTTCTTAGGCATCTCGGCGCCCAAAGGGAGCCGAGCAGCCGCCGGAGCAGCACGTCCAGCCCGGAGCTGCCTCAGCGCGCAGCCACTCCGCAGCATTCCCCGCCAAGGAGGGTGGCCGGGCGCCGGAAGAGCCCTCTGCGCCTGCGCACGCAGCGGCCTGCGCCTCTGTTCTGGCGCGAGGGCGACACCTTCCGGCTGGCGGGAGCAAGACTCCTCGTTCCTCCAAGGGTCTGCGCAAAGGATTGGTAGAGTCCAGTTTGTGTTTAGGAAGATCACTGGCTACAATGTGGCCACTAGAGGAATAGAGGTAGGGAGATCTGCCATCTAGATGGAAGATGGTGGCCTGAACAGAATAGTGGCAGCGGGAATGAAGAACTGAGAACTGAACATTTCAAAGATATTCAGGAACTGTAATGATCAGAGCTTGGGGAATGACTGGATGTGCGGATGAGGATTATTGAAAGTGGTTAAGATGATCAAAGATCAAAAGTGGAGAAGGAAAAACAAAGATCAAAGGTGGAGTCTAATGGGCTAGGGAAGAAGAGGGTTGACAGAACAGAGAGGTCAAGGGAATGGCAGGCTTCAGTTTCAACACGTCACTGGAGTATAGGGGAGAGATGAAGAGGCATCGAAGGTTGTGGTCAGAACAGACGGTAGTGTAATTCCGTGACTAGGTGCATGGTGTGGTTATGAGGCGGAGTGACTGGCATGAAATGGTGGTTACTGGAGGTGAGGAAAAAACCTAGGAACGGTAGGTTTGGATGAACTGTCCACCCCACATGGACACTGAGGCCACTTCTACTTTGGTAGAAGAAAGTGAACAAGTGTTAAACCAAAGCCATATTTTATTTGAGGTCAGTTAAGAATTGGGTTACAAAAGCTGAATCAGCATTATATAGAATTAGTTTTGAGTGAAGTCATGTTAGCCTCAGTTAGAGCTTTGACTGTTATGATGAAAATAAAGGGGGCACCTGCCATGGTGAATTATTAATGGTATCTGGCAGTTGACTACATAAGTGAAGGCAGAGAGGAGGAAGAGGTGCCCTGCAAAAGAACCACTCAGCCTTTCCCAAAGGTCACTCAGGAGTGAGGAGTGGGGAGTGGGGAAGGCGGAGGGAGGGGAAAAGCCATCAGCTCCATTTGCCATCCAAAACGTACACCTGATTGTTGCTTCTGCCCCAAATCCCCACCTCTAAAAGGGAGAGTTGGGATCACTAGAGCACCAACCCCTCTTATGAAGGATGCATTGTCTAACCCAAGAAATAATTCTCAGGTTTTGAGTCTGGATGACTAAAACAGGAAAGCTAAAAGGTGGTTTGAAGGAGATGGGACTTGAAAGGAAAATACATTTAAATACATTTGAAGGCCTGCCTCTAATGTCCTATAAAGTTGTCTATTTCCAGATAATTTTTTTCTTGCAAACTATAGGTACTACTTATGTGAACCTAAAAGAAAGAACACTTTAATAATGCAAATAAATAATCTCAACTTGTTGGGTAGATACTGGAGTTATCACACTTTTAAAAAATAGAAAATGCTTATATTCTACAGTAAATGCAGACTAGCCAAGTATCTTCTGGGGTCTTATTGTAAAGTTTGGGAATGGTGATGTTATTTTGGGACCCAGCAAAATATTTTCCCAACTCTGTAGCTTGGGAGATAAACCTGGGTTTAAATTCTGCCTCCCACCACTTACTGACCTTTTTAAACATGTATTTCTTGGCCTGTGAAATGGGTATTATAATAGTACTTCCCTCAAATTGATGTGAGAAGCAAATGAGAACGTGCGTGAAGTACTCAGTGCAGAGCCTGGCACACAGCAGTCACTCATGTAGCTCTGTTAATACAAAAAGATGTGAAGCGAGATGGTCGTCACCTTATCAGAGTAACAACAACAGTCTTCTTTCTCCCACCTGCGGAAAGTAGAACAGGGGAGAAAACCTGAGATCAAGCAGTAGACGGCAGCAGCAGGGTTACTGCTATAGCTGCTTTAAGGCAATGGAAAGGCATTCTTATTTTGAGCTCTGTTACTTCCATATATTAAAAATAAGGTTAAACTTCAATTAACTAGAAACTTTGTTCCAAGATGGTGTCTTACACTTAACTTTTAGAAGAAAAGACAAATGACTAAATAAATAAATAAATAAAGGATAATAGATATTTATTTTTTAAAAATTCCAGGGGATGTCCCATTCAGTAAACAGTTCCATTTCTTGTCCCTTCATGACTACCTTTAGTTACAATCATTCAGTACAACATACTTGAAAGCATCTGAAATGCCTCAAATGTCAAAAAACATCTGGCACACCATACTTTTTAAGACAGAAGGATCTTCCATGATGGTAACTACAGAATGTTTGCTAGTTAATCTTAAGTTAACCAGAACCACACGTTCCATAGTCATTCCAGTTAACTGAGGTTTATAGCCATAAAGTCATTTTACCAGAGATAGGAAAGCTTCCCTTTTCCTCAGCAATTTTAAGAGAACTCTGTCACCAACACACCTCACTACCTTCTCAAAAATATCACATGAAATACTTTTGATGAAAAATTTCTATCCTAATTACCATTTAGAAAAAATTCTTTTTAAGTTGATACTTAAAAGAATTGTGATTTTTACCTATTTCCACAACGACCTGATAAACTTAATTACACATACATTTTTAATGAGATAATCACTTTCAAGGGAAAAAGAATGTTATTTATATAAAAATTTTGCTTTATAAAAGTGTATAAATGTCATTCTGTCAGATACACTTCCTATCCCCTCCTACTACAGCTGTACCTACAACAGTGAGGTCGTGAGTATTCAACATATTTTATTTTTTGGATAGAATTGTGTGGGTGACTGAAAGTATACTTTTCAGCAGGAATGATTCTGTTGGATAACTTTAAAATTTCAAAGTAGTTGTTAGAAATGTTGGTATTTCATTCCATCGCTTGCTGTGTAAGATTATCGCCACAATGCTGAACTGATGTGTTTGCCCATCACCATCATCATTGCCATCATCTCAATACTGAGAATTTTCTACAGCATCCCCCATACAGACAGGTATAGTGGTGCAGTTTGGAGATAAAGAATCCAGTCTTAGATTACACCTTTAGATCTTTTGTTTATATCACATTATTGTGAATCTGTACAAATTTCATTTATAGTTTAAAACTGTACTATGTAACATATTACTATCTATTATAAAATATTCTTTTCTGTAAGTGCATTGAAAATTTTCTTAGGCATCTGTTAAGCCTATTTCTAGCAATCTTCCCAATGCTAACAACCAGATATTTCAAAACTCCAAAGATGAGGTCAGTTTTCTTAATCTTCTGAAATTTGTTACTTGAGTTAATAGGAATTCTGTAGGAATACTGACCCAAATGATCTTACGTAACCCTCAAATAGTTAAAACAGAAAGAAAACAAAAACAAAAACAAAAACAAAAAACGCAGCTATATAAAACAAGAATCTTTCTATAAAACTGTTGAAAGATCACGAGTCAGCTGATACATGAAATTATACAAGGTAAAGCTGAAATAACTGTTTTTAAAAAAAAAATGATTAAACCCTGTTCTTTTTTCCCTTAAGGTTATAAGAAAATGGAAAATCTCCCTTTAAATCATGCAGAGATTTAAATCAGCATTTATCTATCTCCTCTAAGAAAGTAAAATGTCTCTTATCTTACAATTATAAATATTCATAACACTCAAACTCTTTTTTGTGGCCAGTTTTTTTATACCTTTGAGACTAGCCTGTATGGTACTATTTAGCCAAGATGTATTACGATGTTAAATTATGTATAAAATATTATTTCTGGTATTTGTCCATCTTCTATTGAAGTGCCATTATTATTGCCGGGGGAACTAAAAAAGAAAAAGACAGTCTTGCTAGCAGTAGGTGTTTCATGCACCACTTTCTTCAATCCTTTTGTGCCATAGTGGGAATCTGGACCCTAAATAAGAACAAAAGGTTCATTAGTAATTTTCACTTAATAAGCACTCAGTTTAATGTGGTATTTTAATTAGACTGATGATCTATTATATTTCATTATAGCTCCTATATAAAACTTTACACCAAGTCATTTAATGAAAAATGTAGCTTTTGCTATAAGCTAATTAACAACTAAAAATACTGGATGTAGAGCCCAGCTATTAGAGAACACTGAAATGGTTTTAAGAAAATAATTATTTTATTTTATCTCTATCAAACATTCAATCTCCTACTTAAATAGCTACTTCCAATGAAGAACCATTTTTTTCAGAGCAGAGCTGTGCTGAGAGGTGATGCTTTTTTCAAAGCAGTGGAATATTTTAACTCCCAGCTTTCTACCTTCCACCCTTCCTACAAGGCTGTACTGTTAGTGATTCTCAGCTTCTACTGAAACATGCTCCCTCCCCAAGAGGAAACCATGGCCCTGCCAGAGCACCACCTGGAACACGTGGGGCAACTCTTACTTTGAGCGTTGCGCATGCTGTGTAGCACACGTTGGGCAGGATCTCTATAGGTTCTTTGAACATGACCCTGAATGTGTTAGCAGTCCCATCACAGCTAAATCCAGTATCATTCTGTCCCAGGGTTTGTTTTTTTTCATATTCAATGATCTGTCATTTTTAAAAGAGAAGTTAAATTTAAGTTAAATCTACCGAAACAAATTTTCATAGAAAAGAACATGAAGCCCTTAGAAACAGCAGAGTAGACTATTACATCTCTGCGTTGTAATTTTTCTCTACTATCTCCAACCACCACAGATGCCTTTAAATGTGCTATCAGAAAATGCACTCATCACAGTAAGGATGGGGAGGATGTCAGGTAACTGCACCTTGGCTGCAGGAGAGAGGAGCTTCCAAAAAAGGTATGGCATGGGAACTGGTGTTTTAGCATGTGCAGATTTTAGATACCTGAGGGAAATGAGCCTTTGCTCCTTGCCAGCCTATGTCTTGTTGCTGGGAAATTCCTGCAGCGTTTCCTATGTGGACATTCAAAATATGAAAATTCTGTCATTTTGATTTAGTTCCATAACCTGTGCCAGGCACTGGAGGACACCCTGAAGGAGCTTCCAGTCATCAGAGAAGACATAAACAATGACAATTCAGTACAGCACCCGCAGGAGGAGAGCTATACATAAGACGAAGTAGCAGAGGAGTGGAAAAAATGATTTTATCAGGGAGGAGTGAGGCTCCGAAGAGGAGAGTGTTAAAAGCTCAAGTCAGAGTTTATCAGGTTACAAGAGAAAAGTCTTCATGCAGAGTATAAGGACAGTATGTGTGGAGGCCAAGGCTCACAAAGCTGCCTTTTTGCTCACATCAGAGAAAAACAGTAACAGTAAAACAGGCTGAACCAGCACATGCAGCAAGAGGTCAGGACAGTGGTCATCTAGCAGGCACAGTAACCAGAAAAGATCACGAGGGGACTCCTGGGGCGCTGTAATGTCCTGTTCCTTGATCTGGCTGCTGGTTACGCAAGTGTGCTCACAGTCTGTGAGAAGGGGGCCATATGTTCCACTTATAAATATGTGTACTTTTCTGTATGTACAGTCGACCCTCCATATACGCAGATGCAGAACTGTGGATAAGAGGGCTGACTGTACTGTGCCATTTTATACAGGGGACTTTCATCTCTGAATTTTGGTATCCTTGAGGGGTCTTGGAACCAATCCCCCACAGATGGCTATATATCACAGTTCAAACTAAAAAAAAAAAAAAAAAAAAAAAAAAAAGACACCATGGTGCCCTGGAATAAGTAGTAAGACCCAGGATTTGGCTGTGGCAGTGTAACCTAGAGTAATCCACGTCACTTCTGCGAGCCTTGGTTTGTCTTTTAATTTGGGAAAAAACCTTGTTTGCCTTCTTCCTAAGGCTGCTGTGACAATCAAATTATAAAACTACAGCAATGATGACAGCAACAGACTATGTTCTGAACACTTTACATGCATCATCTCAACTGGTCCTCAAAAACCTACAGGGGAAATACCACTATGTCATAGCACCCGAGGAAGCTGAGGCTTAGAGAGGTTACACAATTTGCCCACAGTCCACCTTGCAGGTGGCAGAGCTGGATTCAAACCCAGGCAGGTTTATCTGGCAGTGTATCTAGAGGGTGCAAGAGACTAGCCCTGGGGAGAAGAAAATAGAGAGAAGCCCTATTTCTATTCATTTTACTCAGAGTATTTATATTTTATCATTTTAATATACCTGTAACCCTGACGCCCTCGCTCAGTCTGTAGCAAGGAGCCCAGCGTCTTAGGTAATAGGCGAGGTGCACTGAAAGTGGGGTTCCACAACTGAAGAGGCTGATGGGGGGCTCCTCACTTGTTTCCAGGCCTATACATTATAAAGCCTCCTTAAGTGGGTTTGTGGATCCTTTTCGATAGGATCTTAACAATATTTCTAAGTATATAAAGTGAAAAAGGGAGTGATCATGAAAATCTTTTATACCCCTCAGAGGTTTGGTGAGGTTTCTCGGCATTAAAAATCACGGAAACAAAATTTTCCAACCTGCTTTAAAATCTCTCAAAGAAACAATTTCACTGGGTTTTGAACCTATGGGTTAAAAATATTAAAACTGTAACTGTCTAATTGGTTTATAAGAACAATGAATTGACATGAGTGATGTAAATTTATCAGCTGAATTTTACTATAAACCGTAGCAGACAGAATTAGAAAACGATCATCATTTCATTAGCACAACCAACAAAGCAATTCTTCCATCTGGAACAAGGTTATCTTTCTGAGGCAGTGAAGTATCTTTTTGGCTGTCATCAGACATATATCAAACTAATGATGCATTCTGATCACAAAGTTCACCAATCTTTTACTATTAAAAGTAATATATTAATATTTATTGGCAGTGTTTTCTGGTGTTAAAATCTGAAACATTGTTTACTTCCTTTTCTCATTTTTATTTTTTTGTTTTAATTTATGTATAATACATAATAAGTATAGAATTGCTTAGGTATATAGTTTGTAATAAAAGGGCAAGGTGGATGTGTTTCAAAAATAATTTTACTAACTGGGGTGTGCAATCAGAAGTGTGGCGAACACTGGCTGGTGAGAAGGGAAGGAGAGGTGCTTTACTGCCTTCTGGATTAAGTAACTGTGCCATATCTGAAAGAACTGAGGTGGAGCAGACCTAAAGACCAGGGCAGGGTATGGTCAGACAATCAGAAATCAGAGGTGGTACTAGCAATTAAAAGGAATTAGACAGTTTCAAGCCTCAGAGGTCAAGGTGCCATGAAAAACAGCAGGTAGGTTGTTTTGAGACAGTCAATACACAGCAGGAAGGACTAATAGAAGGGTTTCTTGGACAAAGGAGAGCTCCTTGTATGTTTATCCTGTGAAGGACCCCAGGACCACAATTTTCTGAAACTATCTTTTAGATCAATTTTAAAACAAAACCCTCCAGGCTTTAAATGCTACTAACAGGCTTTCTGATGCCTTTGATGATTATACTGAAATTTGGATTTCATTGCAACAGTGTCTTATTATAAAATTACATTTGTTCTCTATTTCAGATGATATATAGTGGGGAAAAAAGTGTACCTGTATATTCACTTGATAATCTGTGGGACCATGAATAGATCCATATAAACCAAATCCAACTATAGAGATTCTTCTATTGACTGTGAACCTGAAAGAATGAAGCCAAATGTAAAATAACATACATAATTCAGTAAGCATTCATATTCTGGAGGCTTATACATTTCAAAGTGTTACTCAGAACACCTAATTTTGCTCAATAAAAAGGAAAACTATTGAGAGGAGGGTATAGCTCAAGTGGTAGAGCACAGGCTTAGCATGCACGAGGTGCTGGGTTCAACTGCCAGTACCTTATTCAAAAATAAATAAGCCTAATTACCCTCCCCTGCCAAAATAAAATAAATAATACAATAATAAATAAATAATTTTTTTAATTATAAAAGTTAGATATCCTTGGAAATGTCACCTGCTTACCAAAAACTCTTGCTAGAGTAAATTTTAACTTATTGGGAACTTAAGTAGAATCTGTTTTCTGTACTGTACATTTTTAAGCCAACGAATTTATTTAACCTAAATAGCCATTTTTATTGTAATGATAACTTTAGTCTAAATATGTCTGCATATCTCCTTCATGAACACAGATGAGTCAGCCCTGATCAGGCCTGATGTGCAGCATCCCAAACTATGACAATTCATCAGCTTGATGAATACCGGGGGCCAGTCAGAATGAGGTACTGGGCCTGGCACTGGGGAAATAACTGTCATCCAGACAGCCTCTGCCCCTACTGCTCTTACAGCCTGAGACAGTGACAGTAAGTAAACAAAGGAATTGTGGTAAGGACTGTGAAGGAGGCAGGCTGCTGAAACAGAATGGGTGGTGGGGAGCTGGGTACAGGCCCTAAGTTACACAGGTGGGTCAGAGTGAGATTTCAATCTGGAACAATCAACAGGTCCAGTTTGGTCATCATAGTTAAGAAATGGCCCACCTTACTTCATTTTATAACTGTAAAAACTAGCATCAAGCACAAATGGCACTGAAAAACTGTATAATAAAAGATAATCTAATATATATAGTGTTAGGTAAGGGCCCAGCTTCTTTTCTTTTTAATGGAGATACTGGGGATTGAACCCAGGACCTTGTGCCTGCTAAGCACGCACTCTACCACTGAACTATACCCTCCCCTACCAGTCTAGAATATAAAGCAGTGATCCTCAACATTTCATACTTTAAGAGCTGAAATAACAAGTTCAATTTTTATTATTATTACTACTACACCATTACAACTTTATGAGCACTTCCTGTGCCAGGCACTGAGCTTCAGTTCTTTTTTGCTGTTGTTGTTCATAATTATTTATTAGAACTGAAAGTTGTTTGCTCTTCTATTTCATGAGCATCCATTCAGGAGCTTCAGTTCTTTACATGAATTATTTCTTTTAATTATCGTAACAGCTCTACAAACTAAGTAACACGGTATTGTTTTTATCATCCTCAGTTTTTATAGTTGAAGAAACAGAGGTTTAGAGAAATTAACTTGCCTAGATCAAAACATGTGACAGAGCTGGGACATAACTCCAGGTCTGCATGGATCTAAAGCTCATACTCCTCTTTTTGGAGGGGTGGGGGTGGTAACTAGCTTTATTTATTAATTTTTTTTTAAATGGAGGTACTGGGGATTGAACCCAGGACCTTGTGGATGCTAGGCACGGGCTCTACCACTAAGCAATATCCCCTCCCCAAGAGCTCATACTCTTAATCATTATGTTAAATTGCCAGTATGAGGACCACCTTACATTTTTAAAAATATATTTTTAAATACAGTTTTTTGTTATAAAAAAGCTATATATTCTGCTAAAAATATTAGAAAATGCAGCTAAACAGGAGGAAAAATTTTAAGCATCTCTAAATCTACCATCTAGAGATAACTCCATTTTCAATTTGGTGCATTTCCTTTTCAGACTTGTAGTTCTGTTTTTTAACAACAGAAAAAGACTTTTCTATGAATGTACATGTGTTATTTTATAAAACCATGCCAGATATACATATTTTTATAACTTCTTTTTCATGTAAAAAGGTAAAAGATTACTACCGATTCATCGTATTTCAGAAATTCCTACTTGTTAGATAATCTAGGCTATCTGCAGTTTCTGTTATTATGTAACAATGCCACGATGAATAGTCTCGTAGCTAAATCATTTTACAGAGCCTTAATCATTTCCTTAAAATCAATTCTTGGAAGTAGATTTTCTGGGGAAAAGGCACATTCTTAAGGCTTTAGATAAACTTTATCAAATTGCTTTCTGGGAAGATTATAAAACTTTACACCCAACAAGGAATGAAGATCATTTCTATCTCACTCTCAACAACCACGGGTATTTTCATTTATTTTTGCTGTTGAGAAGCTGATAACTGATAAATTCTATTTATATTTCTTTGATAACTGAGTTAACATTGGCTTATATGCTTACTGTCTACTGGATTTTCTCTTTAATGAAAGACCCACTCATGTTCGTGTTGCATTTTTCTGTGCTAATGATCAGTGCCTTTTTCATGTGGATTTGAAAGACCATGTTACATAGTTATTCTATGCTTTGTCGGTAATGTCCATTACAAACACTTTTTTATTTGTTGTCTATCTTTAAACATTATGGTGGTTTTGGAAAACTTTGAACTATTTATAGTCAAATTATGACCCATGCCAAGTTTAGATGGGTCTAGCTCATCCTCATAATAAACATTCTGTTCTAGCATTTTCACAATTTCATTTTTTTAAATGTCAATAAAACTTTTATTTATAAGAATACTGGTAGATGGTGTCGGTAGAGAGCTTACTTTATTCTCCCAGTGGTTAATCCTTTCCTCACATTCTAAACATTCATTTACATGAGGCTGGTTTCTGAACTCTGCAGTATGTTCCATGCAGCACTAACTTAAAGCTTTATAATACTTTCCATGCTTGATCCATACCACTTTTTTTTAAAAAAGAAATATTTACTCTTACAGATTAATCTTAGAATAATTTTGCCAACCTACTCCTCCCTACCAAAAACATGGGACTTCTACAAGGAACTGCATAACATAGAGAGGTTAGTTTGGAAAGATACCATCAAAGTTCTCCAGTTCTTCATAAGGATACCATACTATACATTTCTTATAGGAGTTAATCCTACTACTTTACGGTATTCGTTATTATTACAAATGGGATCTGTTCTTACTCAACACTATAACTGAAAACTTACACACTGAAAAATTTTTCTTGTGGCAAAATATATAACAAAAGGTACCATCTTAAGCATTTGTAAGTGGCATTAAGTACATTCAGTATTGTTAACCATCAGCACCATCCGGCTCTAACCGAATTTTGATGACATATTGGTACATCACTGGTTTTTGCATGCACTGTTTTACAAGTGGCCACTATTCTTTTTTATTGGTGCTGGTAGATTTTTACTGATCTTGAGGCTGTTTGGGCAGACCAGGTGTTCTCAAAAGTAGTTCTATTCCCGAAGAGGCACGGGGCTCTGCTGGCAGGGAGCCAGGGACACCAGAATTACTGCAATATGTAGGATAGTCTCCCAAAACAAGGAATCCCAATCAACTTTCAAGTGTCCTGTCAGAATTCACGTAGATGAAAAACTTGTTTTTAACTACGAGATTTAAACCTAATTCTTTTTCATTTATAAACCAAAGATTTTATGGCAATTTTAATATTCACTGACTTACAAAAGGTGACTACTTTATTAACATAGGAAATATCATACAGCCAATTCTCCTGATTTGTGGCAGTTATATTCTATAGTTGCCACAAACACAGAACTAGCAAATACTACGCCACTGCCCTAAGGGGGAATATGGACAACTCATTCTAGTATATTCCATTTTCTTTATTTTACAAAAGAGAAAATGAAATTAAGCATTAAGTGACTTGCCTGAGGCCACCCCCACTAACAGATGCCAGAGTTGGGACTCAAACTGTCCAATGGTCCCAGAGCTGTCATCGCTTGCACTGCCCTCCACCGTCTCCATCTCGGTATGAGAGCTGAAACAAGGCAGAGGATCACCCTGTTTGATCTCACACAGGAGCATGCTCCTGGGCAACTAAAATCTTTCCTGTGAATGACTGAGAAAGTACTGCTGGGGATTACAAACAAACTTCAGCAAGCAGGTGAGTTCTCAAACAGGGAAACTGGATAAAGGGAATGGACTGTAATTTGCTTTATTTGAAACCTTTAAAGAAAATGACAAATTGGCAGCAGTGCTGCTCATGGTATTTGCAACATGAGTGTAACACACCTGTCCCCCGACTTGCAGCTGTCAGGGTGCTGCTGCACACAGGTACTGAGTCTGACTGCTGCAGCTTGTGTTCTGCTGCCCAAGTGTCTAGATACTGAAATAGGTATTTTATTTTACGACCAGTTACCTTTATTTTTCTTTACAACTAGGCCATTATATCTTTAAAAAAAATGAAACATTATGAATTTCACTTCAGGTTAGTAAAGGGGCAATACAAAATATTTATTATAAAAAAGGGAGAACTAGGTCTGATGGAGTGCAGAACTACTAATGTAGATGTTATCTGAAAATAATGAAAAAAAATTCCTTTCTAGTAATTCTTTATCCTTTGTGACTACATCAATCAGAACACTGCTGAAAAAGAGCAATATTCACAGGCATCTCTACCTTGAGGTTTCAATAGTTTATCATGTTAAAGAAGTATTCTTTTAGACCTAGCCTATTCATGGTTATATATGCATCGAGGGTGAAATTTTATCAAGTCTTTTTGACATCTGTCGGAAAAAAATGGGTTATTTCTTTGATCTGCTACCATGTTGAATTATACTAATACATTTCCTAGTATTGAGTGATTCTTTCAATCTCTGAATACACTTTATTTGCTTTTATAGTGTTATCCTCCTAAGGTACTACTAGATTCAATATCCTATTTTATGTAGAATTTCTTCTTGTATGTAAGTGAGATGGACCTAGAAAATTTTTGTCTTGTCAGATTCCTGTATAACATTATGCTTCCTTCAATAATTAAACAAAAAGTATTTTCTTCTTTTAATGCTCAAGGAAACAATCTGTTCTCTGCAGGTTTGATAAAACTCACCTGTCAAAACCACCTTGTGAAGGGACAGTTCTTTGATAACTTTTAATTTCTTCCATGGTAATTGGTCTATTCAGGCTTTCTTCTTCAGTCAATTTTGATAATTTATATTTGCCTATAAAATGATCCATTCCATCAAAATGTTCAATTTATTAGCACAGAGTAAACCCAGAATTAAAATAAAAATTTCCTCAATATATGATTATATTCCCATTATTATTTGTAAATGTGAGTATGTTTTGTTTATTACCTTTGCCAGAGCTTTACTTATTTTATTGGTATTTTTCAGAAACCAGCTTATGGATTTAACAATTACTACTATTTTTAATTCATTAATTTATACATTTACCTATCTCCTCTCTCTTTTCTTAGGGTTCTTTTGCTATTCATTTTCTAGTGTCTTGGGTTAAATGCTTAAATCATTTATTTCTAATTTATTTAGTAAAAGTAGTTACTTATTGCTAATTCTCTGTGTGATACTCTGTCCTCATCCTGTAAATTTTCCTAGATAGTATTCTCATTGTGAATGACTACTAAACAGCCCACAAATGCATTTTTATTTTCATTTTAACCCAATATTTATCTTCTCCCCCTTGGAGTTCTAGTTTTAAACAAACTTATTGTTAGTTTCTACTTTTATACCAAAGTGCTATTAAGTAAGTGAAAATTCAAAAGGCATGTTTTATGAAAACAAGTACTTCTCCTACTTCTCCTATTTTGACATTTGACCTAAAGAAACATGGTAGAGCAAATATAAATTCCAACAGAATTATAGGCATGCATCTTTTAAGATTTAAAAATTATTTTCCACTCAAAGCTGTTATAAATGTATACTGGGACACTTTCCATGCAAATCTATGCAAAGAAAAAACTCACACTAAACCAAGTTAAGATTAAGTATATTAAACTGTAGCCTGAACTCTGTAAAAATAGTGTTTGATTAACTAAGACCTAGACCTCAGCTCACCAGCAATGTTAGTCCAAACAATACTCATGTGTTAGAAGGTCCAATTCAATCTTTTCTTACTTTACCTGTTTCCTAAGAGATCCCATCACTCATGATTCAGTGGGGAGACCAGTAAGCCTGACATCTTGACTCTTGTATTAAGTTAGAAATGTATTAAACAAAGTATAAAATAAAATGTTGGCTAATTATCTCCCACAATTTGGGCATAAAAGCCAAACGCTAACTGCTGCCCCACCCGAACCCCGAGTCTACAATGTGACAGATACCTGATTCGATCACTGGTTCCACTGTAACCCCACCGGCTCTCTACTTGCTGGAATCTATTGATGCAGCATTCCTTTCCTCTGAGGCAGCACCTTGGTCGATCAATGTATTCAACTCGGGGTTTAGGATTGACAGTAAAATGAAGAAAGAGATTTACCACTTCACGATCTGACAGAATTCCAGACTGAGCAGGACCTATAGAAATAAAAATATAAACCTCAATAAAAGCAACTTTACTGCAATCTCTAACTTTGTAATTTGTTAAAAATCCCTAATTGTGAATTCATATCCAGAAGATGTAAACTTAACAATGAGGCAGAAAAATCGTGGCATATATAATTTTAGCATATATTTAAAAGTTTTACTAAATTTATTTGAGGTTAACCTAATATGTACGTGTAAAAATCATTAATAAATCAAAGCTTAGGTGAAGCCCTGAGATCACAGAAAGACCTTTAGAATTTTCTACCCATTCACCCTACAGTATTTTGTCTATCAGAAAGAGGAGAGGTAGGGAAATGCTCGCAGTGGTGCCAGGGTTACAATTACCTCCCCATTTCCCATCTGTCTGAGGCTATAATCAAATAATGGAACACAGAGGCAGAAATAAATGGGACAGTGCTTTCGTTGTGGGATTCAGAAATTAGCAGAAGGCAGGAGCTAAGACTGGAAGAGCTGTGGAAGAAGCATATGTTATAGTTTCCTTATTCACTGTTTCTGAGAAGAGAAAATTCCAAACAGCTTAAATTTATCCAGGAATAAACATGAGGAATGCTACTCCTCATAAAAAGATGCCACGAGATCCCTTCCAAGGCTGGTAAAAACAATCTAAATAAGAGATTTCAAAACACTAGCAATTTGGTTTAGGAAGCTGTAAATCAGACTTTAATGTAAAACACCCTAAGTTTTAAAAAATTAAAAATTTAAAAGTATCACATAAAATATATCAACCTGCCAGACCTGGCCCCACAGTTCATTTGCAATCTCTGGATAAGGAAAGATGGTAAAGGAGAAAAAAATCAATTACAAAGTTAAAACATGCATTTTAGCCAAAACAAAAAACCCCCCCAAAAACAGACCTGGAATTGCATAAGATCAAAAGAGAGATGGGGGTGAAAACTCATATAACTTTCTCAGACTGACAAGAGGACAAAGAATTCAAATGTTTAAGGTGACTAAAATGGATGATAAAAAGCAGAGCCCAACAAACACGTAACTAGTATCCCTGAAGAACCAACAAGAAATAAAATAATGCAGTAATTCAAGACTACAAATACAACTTGCCTTATCATGCTTCGCAGATACTACATTTTTAACAAACTAAAGGTTTGTGGCAACCTTGCTGCACCTTCTACATCAGCACTTGCTGCTTCACCTTGCACTTGTATGTTATGAAGACGGCTTCTTTCCTAAAACCTCCTGAACCAGCCTCTGCTGGCTTCCAACTTTTCTTCTGTAGCTTCCTCACCTCTCTCAGCCTTTACAGACTTAAAGAGAATTACGGCCTTGCTCTGGATTGGGCTTTGGCTTTAGGGAATGTGACTGGTTTAATCTTCTGTCCAGACAACTCAAACTTTCTCCATGTCAGCAATAAGGCTATTTCACTTTCTTATCTTTTGTGTGTTCACTGGAGCAACAGTTTTCATTTCCTTCAAGAACTTTTCTTTTGCATTCCCAATTTGGCTAACTGTTCGGTGCAAGAGGCTTAGCTTTGGCCTATCCTGGCTTTCAACATGCCTTTCTCACTAACTAAGCTTAATCATTTCCTGCTTTCGATTTAAAGTGAGAGATATGAGACGCTTTCACTTAAAAACTTAGAGGCCATTGTAGGGTTATTAATTGGCATAACTTCACTATTGTGCCTCAGGGAATAGGGAGGCCCAAGGAAAGGGAGAGAGATGGCGGGTAGGTGGTAGGTGGAGCAGTCAGGACACACACAACACTTATCAACTAAGTTTGCTGTCTTATATGATGCAGTTTGTGGGGCCCATAATAATTACAGTAGTAACAGCAAAGATCACTGATCACAGATCATCACCATAGCAAATATAATAAATGAGTGAATCAAAATAAAGGATTCAAGAGGTGTGTCATAAAAGAACTGGTGATGAGCACTAAAACCAAAACAACCTAGAATTAAGTCTAATATAGTTGTATTATTATAATATATTGTGTGGGTGGATAATGAGTTACCATGAAGTGGTCTGGAAAGGTTGAAAGGATGAAACACCATGCTAACATTCTTGTCTTAAACAGGAAAGGTCAATAAATACTGCTCTATTATGAAATGGAGAATTAAGAAAACTGAAGGGGAAAAAAGTAAACATAAAATTTGTTATTTCCTAGTCTCTAGACAGAAAAAAAAAAAAAGCAAAGAAAACACACTCAACAGCAAAACAGAGAACATAAAGGGAACTCTTCCTAAAAAAATTTTTCAAAAATACAACTGAGAGATAACATGCATACAGAAAAGAACCTGCATGACAGCAAGAGGAGAAACATTATTTGATGACATAAAAGTATTAATAAGTCTGTAGGATGGAACAGCCTATGTCAGAGAACAGCTACAGGTGAAATGGCACACAAATGGGTGAAGAACAACTGAGGCAGTCAATGCTTGAGAAGGGAAATGTACTGAGATGAAGCCGTGTATTTGTCACCCTTGTAACCCCCTTGGGATATCCGCTGATTTGCTTCACAGGGCATAAATGCCAAACAGAAACTGGCAACCTAGAAATTGTGGTAGTCCTCACTTAATGAAGGAGACAAAAATTGTAATTCAAAGCTACCAAGGCAGCCAGCGATGCAGAAGAGAATACTTAATAGAGAAACATTACCAACATTTTAGAGAAAACTATGAGACCAAGAAGCTAAGCAGGAAGGAACTACTAAGAGACTAAAGAGTTAAACAGAAATTTCTCTCTTAATGCTTGAGAGAAAAATCCCCAAATATTTGAAAATTAAGCTATATACTTACAGCCTATGGATCCAGAAAAAAATTACCATGAAAATTAGAAAATATTTTTTATTGAGTGATAATGAAAATACAACATATCAAAAACTTTTGGAGAAAAAAGAAATGCTTAGAGGAGAAAGTACAGACTTGAATGCATACACAAAAAAGAATACATGTGAAAACTGATGTTCTGAGCATTTATCTCAAAAACTCACAATGTCTAAATAAATAACCCCCAGCAAATTAAAATTAAAGAAGATAATAAAAAAAAATTAGAAATCAATGAAATGGAAAACATATACACACTAGAGTACATTAATAAAGCCAGAAGTTAGTTCTCTGTAGAAATTAATAAAATGGGTAAACTCCTAGGTAAGGCTGATCAGAGGCACAATATACCATTATCAGAAATGAAAAAGGGGACATAATTTAGATTTCACAAACACAGAAATAATAAAAGCATATCATGAAATTCATGTTAACAAATTAAAAGTCTAGATGAAACTCACAAAAAGAAGTAGAAAAATATGAAATATCATACTCAAGAAATTAAATCTCTAATTTAAAACTTTCCACAAAGAAAATGCTAGGTCCAGACAGCTTCACTGATGAATTCCCCTAAACACCTAAGGAAAAACAGCACCAATTTAATATAAACTCTCAAATATAGAAAAAAGAAATATTCCTAATTTTTATATGAGCCCAGTATAAACTTGATAATCAAAATCTGATAATTTCATTACAAGAAAGGAAAATTATAGACTAATTTCTCTCCTGAAGTAGTTGTAAAAATATTTTTTAAATTTAGCAAATTGGATCTAGTAACATACAAAAGGATAATACATGACAACCAAGTCTAGTTTATGTAAGGAATCCAAAATTGGTTTAATTTGGAAAATCAATCAATGCAGTTCACTATATTAAGAGAGTTAAGGGGACAACTGCATCATTATCTCAAAAGAAGAGAAACATTTGATAAAATTCACAATAAAACTCTTAGCAGATTATTAAAGGAAAAAAACTTCCTTAATCCAATAAAGGGTATCTACAAAAAAATTTACAGCAAGCATACTCTATGGGGAAATACTGAAAGTTTTCTGCCAAGACTGGAATAAGACAAAGATGTTCACTATCAGTACCTCTATTTACTAACATGCTGGAGGATCTAGGCCATATAACAAGGCAAGAAAAAGAAATGTCTAAGGATTAGAAAGAAACAGAATTATTATTGTTTGCAGATAGCATGATTGTACATGTAGACTATGAACAATGATCTACAAATAAATTATTAGAATTCATGAATCTAGCAAGGCCACTAGATGCAAGGTCACTAGACACAAAGTCAATATAGGAAAATCAGCTGTATTTCTATATACTGGCAAACAACCAATTAGGACATGGAAATTAAAAAAAACAATCATTTGCAATCATATTTAAAAAATAAAATACATAAGGAATATACCTACCAAAAAAATATACAAGACCTCTACCAGAAAACTCAAAATGTTACTAAGAGAAATTTTAAAAGTCTTAAATCAATATTCATGGATTGGAAGACTCAATATTATAAAAATGTCAATTAGCTCCACCCCAGTCTATGAGACTAGATTGGGCGCAGTCAGGGTGATATGTCCACACCAGTCTATGGATCAATGCAATTCCAATAAGAATCCCATGACTTTTTTTTTTTGGTGGAAATTGATAAGCTGATTAAAACATTTATTTATATGAAAATACAAAAGACCAAGAATGGCCAAGATAAATCCAGAAGAAGAACAAAGTTAGAGGACTTTCATTACCAGATTTCAAGATTCAGTATAAAATTACAGAAAGGATAATTCCACAGAACTGGTTCAAGGATAAACAAATGTAACAGTAGATCAGAATAAATATTCCAGAAATATTCATTTATATGCAGTCAACTGATTTACAACAGAATTATTTAGCACTGCAGTGTATGGGGACAAGGATAGTTTTTAATATACAGCTATATGGAAAAAAATGAACCTTGACCTCTACCTCATACCATCCACATGTGTGAAAAAACACCACAGAAAACAAAAGCATAACTGGATTACAGACAGAAAAGTTAAATGTAAAACAACAGAATTCCCAGAAGAAAACCTAACAGAATTATCTTCACGACCTTGAGGCAGGCAAAATTTCTTAAAGACATAAAAAGCCTTCACCTTAAAGGAAAAGATTAATAAATCAATTCATTAAAATTAAGATCTTCTATTTATCAAAACACAGCATTAAGATAACAAAAAGACAATCCATAGACGGATATTAGTGATATTACACATTGCATGCATTTTTAATATATTCTGGACACAAATCTTTTGTCAGGATAAATAAATAATGTAATATTATTTATAATACATATATATATAAACGGCAAGGATGTGGGGCAACTAGAATGGGAGCTCTTAATTCTCTTACTTAGGCAGCTGAGTGAACTGTTAACAATCACTTTGGGCAACTGTGTGGTAGGATCTACCAATGCTGAACACATGTACACTCTGACTTTGCAATTCCACTCTTACCTACTCAACAGAAACGTTCACACATATACACCAAGTAACAGGTACAAGAATGGCAACAGACAGAAACAACCCAAATGTCCAACAACAGTCAAATGGATAAATAAATCATGGCACATCCATACAACAGATTATACAGCAATGAAAAAGAATGAGCTACTGCCACACACAACCACACAGATGAATCTAACAGACATGATGTTAAGAGAAAGAAGCCACACACAAAAGAATACATGCTGTATGTATGATTTCCTTTATATTAAGTTCAAAGACAGACAAACTCATTTATAGAAACCAGAAAGTAGTCACCTTTGGGAGGGAGATTAATGACTAGGAGGGGCCGACAGAGACTTGTGGGGTACGGTAATATACTGTAAACTGACGTGTGGTTAAATAGGTGTATTCACTGTATTTGTTCTCTTTACTATGCAGATGTTATACTTTAATTTTAAAAGTTAGAAAAAGAAAAAATAAACATTGATTCTGATCAGCAAAAACAATTTGGAAGACTATTGGTACATATGTAACAAATCAGTAAGAAAAGTCTGAATATTCCAATAGAACAAAAGTCATGAATGCTAAGAAAAAAAAATACAAATGGCCAATAAACATAAAGAAATACAACTTTAAACAATTATGAGATTTTTTTTCCTTTTAAATCAATCTGGCCATGAATTAAAAGCAGATAATTCTCAGTGTTGATATGGATAGCAAGAACTGATCACAGAACTAAGAACCAGGTTTGTTTGATTTTAAATCAGATGCATCAACCCTAAGAATCAGAAAGATCTGTCAATATAACCCTGGATAAGGCACTTAACCCCTCTCAGGTTCAGTCCTTAAACTTGTGAAATATCATTTAATTTTTATATATTAATACTATATAGAGTATTTTTAAAAATATAAAATATATATTACTTTAAAATGTATAGTAATATGTAACCTATAATATTATTGTGAAGGGCTATCAGGAGAATTAAATAAAATTATACAAACGCACATACCTAAATAGCTTCTTTCCCTCTCTCTTGCACGGGGAAACTGACTGCACATTAAAATCATTTCAGATAGATTTTGGACAAGTTATTCCCTTACCTGCTGCAAACTCCTCAATGGTCATCAGTGGGAACCGGATCAAAGACAGTGCTTTCCCTAGAACTTTCTGTTTGTTTCCAAAAGTCACAGGCAATTGTTGTCTTTGACATTCTGCTTCTGCCCATCGTACAACAGCTCCAAAAAGTCGACTTTCTCTAATACTAAGAGTGTCTCTTTCTAGAACTGCACAGAGAGTGTCTACAGGTAAAATACAAAAGTAAATCAAATTAGGAATATTTTGCTCTTTAATAAAACAACACTGACAAACATGCTTGTATTAAATTTTCAAATCTCAATAAAAAATAGGTTGGGTACTTAAAACTATAGACTCTATACATAAAAATATTTATGAATTAAAGAAATTAAACTGCAAAGTTTTCTTTAAGAATTTACTATGAGGTTAACATTCAACTTATTACTTAACCATACATGGAAGCTCGGTTACAGTATCTCCTTATATATTCATGCCATTTATCAAGCAAATCCAAATATCCAGAACAATAATAGTAAGTCAGAGAAAAAGGCTCCTAGTCAGTAATGTACAAATTCATAAAGTCTACAGACTACAATTCATTCATTCATTCAGCAAATATTTCTTATTAAGCACTCACAATGTGCCAGGCACTATTCTAGACACCGAGGATACATTATTGAACAAAAAGTTAAAAATTCTTTGCCTTTGTGGAGTATACATTCTAATGGGGGAACCAGATTAAACAAACCTAAGTAAGTTATAATACGTTAGATAATAAATGTAGGGAGAAATAGCAGAGTAAGAGGAATAAGAAGTGCAGTTTAAAACAGGATGGTCTGGACAGGCCTCATTTGAGCTAAGACATGAAGGAGGTCGAGGCAGGTGGGGTTAGTAAGTCAAACAGACACCTTGAGAGAGAGCACCCCCGGACCGGCCAGTGTGAAGGCTCTTATGAAAGCGTGCCTGGCGTACTCGAGGAACAGCCAGGAGGCCAGAGTCGTTGAAGTGGAGTGAGCAAGAGGGAAAAGTAGTAGGTGATGAGGACCAAAGCATGGGGGGCAAGCGGGGTGCAATCATGTAGCACTCAGCAGATCATTTGGCTTTTGAGTGAAAAAGGGAAGCCCTGGAGGGTTCTGAGCTGTGACACTTTATGTTCTAAAAGAACTACACTGGCAGTGGAGTTAAGAAGAGATGGTAATGGAGGCAAGAGTGGGAACAAGATCAGCTAGGAGACTCCTGCACTGATCCAGGTCAGAGGTGATGGTGGCCTGAACTAGGAGGAAGTGGTGAAAAATGATCAGATTCAGGATATATTCTGAAAGAAGACTCAAGATTTCCTAACAGATTAGATACAGGAGGTGATGGAGAGTTTGAGTCAAGGATAATGCCCAGGTGTGTAGTCTAAGCAATGGAGGAGTGGCTGTGGCACCAACTGAGATGAGAAAGACCATGCAGAAGCAGGGTCTGGGATGGGGGGAGGGGGGTGAGAGGGGAGAGCTAACATTTAATTTTGGACATATTAAGTTTGAAAGCCTTATCTGACATCTAAGTATAAATGTCATGACCATAACTCAGGCCCTCACTCAGAATCCTTTTCCTCTTTATTAAATTAGATTAAATTAAAATAGGCTGAACTATTTTTAAGCTACAGTAGACCAGAAGCAGTAAGTAAGTTCAGTAGGGCTTTAGAGGCCAACATACTAAAATGAAATGATAAGCTGCAATCTAACAGGGACTAAGAAGAGAGGAAATTTGTGAAAAGTAAACACAAGTACTGAAAAGCACTGCAATCGAGTCTTTTATACCAAGAGAAAGAGATTTAAAAAAAAAAAAACAACTTCAGAGCCACCTGAGGGCTTCAGTGTACAATAACTGATACTCATAATAGCACCAATAATCACAAGAATCCTAAATTATAGTCAATATGTACTATTTAACAAGGGCAGGTAAAGTAAAATACATATTTTTAGATCAATTTCTCAAATGGCCAAAATAAATTGTTCTAGATGCATGAAAAAATTACTTACAGGGAACCTTACTTTCTAAAGAACCCCAATAAAATAGGCACTATTATGAAATATGTAACAGTTATACTTTAAGGTAAATTTAAATAAAAATGAGGATGCCATACTTAATATATGGAAGAAATCACTGCAAACATTAAAATATAATTAAATCACCAGAAATAGACATCTAAGAAAAATTTATTAAAAATAAAATTCAATTGTGCAACGATCTACACATTCATACTAGAAACAAAATATTTGTTTAATAACAAACATAGCTATCATTTTAGCAAAGATATCACAGTCCCCAGAACACAGGAGCTCAAAAATGTGTTAAAAATGAAGAGGTTAAATATTTTTTAATCAAGCATTTTTTCCTTCTCTTACAGCTGAGCAGATGAGTATAAACTAAGGTTCCAGGAAATCTTTTCAAAGGTAAATGAATGTAAGTCAATATACCTCAATACTTGTAGGATTAGGAATATGCAATGACTATATTTAATCATTCAATAGAAAAACAGACGACTTTGAAGCGGCACGTATCCACCTTGTATGCTAATAACTTCAGTAAAGATAAACATAGAAATACGTACATTATACTGCCCTTGGCACAATGTAAATTCATTTTGTTCTACCAATGTGACATTATCTTCTTCCTTTGGCAACAAAGCTACAAGAGAGAAACAGTATTTCTCTACCAGAAAAATAGCATGCACATCCCTCTGGAGCACATAGTCAAATGCCAGAGAAGCAGCAGCATCCTCAGAATCTAAAAGAGCTATTAAAAAAGCTCCTGAAGCCAGGTCCTTCTTTCTATCAGCTTCTAGACTTCACTTTCATTCTCAACTTTTAACAAGTACATTTGAGACAAACTAGACTGGTGGAAAGACATATATTTTCTATTGACAGATGTGTTATAGTAAGAAATTACAGCTGCCAGTCTCATAAAGATCATAAAACACGTAAGATGTTTCATAAACATAATACAATGCTGGATTTTGCTATAAACCACTGTGAGTCAAGTCAAATCAACAAATATTTATAGGGTTTTTATCCTGTGCAAGGTACCTACTTCAAGATTCCCAGGATCCAACAGCATGCCTAACGTAGGGGCTATTTATGAAACAACTTGAAGTGAGTCACCCAGATACAGGCAGTATTATTTCAAGTGAGAGTAGACTGAAGTACAAATGGAGCACTTGACAGCCCCTTAAAGGAAAGGAAGTTAGGATTAAGCAATGCTTCATTACCAGCGTGGGCAGTGCTTAGGGCTCTCAAACATGCAGTAATCCAACAAAAATTTAACAGCACAGGATGTGCAGATGCTGGAGAGGTACCCAATCTAGTCCCTGCCTTCAGGATAATGCAAGATGAGTATAAATCCTTCCCAAGGTAACATAAAATTAACAGGCAAACTAAGCAAGGGATGTTATTGTAACAGAGGAATATATTAAATGTCAGGGTATTAACTCTTAAAGGAGTCACTGCAGAGGTATAATTTGAGCCAAGACATTAAGAATGAGTAAGATCTAGCCAAAGTGGGAAGGAAAGGCAACATTCTAGACACAGCCAGTCGCTCTAGCTACTCAACAAGTATTAACTGAACACATACTATGTTCTAGTGTTTTCCACGCTGAAGATATGGTGGTAAACAAAACAAAATCCCTGCAGTGAGGGAATTTACCATCTAGAAGGGGAAGGTAGACAACATACATGTACATAGACAAATACCAAGATAAGAATTTCAGAGAGTGCTACATATTATGAGAAGAATAAATCAAGAGTTAATGGAACAGGGATTGTTTAGAGGAATGGGTTATCTACTATAAGTAGGTGTGAGATGGCCTGTCTCGCGACTCGTTTAACCTGAGATCTGAGTAATTAAAAGGAGATAGCCATACAAAAATTCTTGGGGAAAAGGATTCCAATCAGCGGAAATAGCAAATGCAAAGACTTAAAAAAATTGGAATAACTGTGGCCAGTATATATAGAACACAGTGAATGAGGGGGAGAATGGCTGAGGACAAGGTCATATGTAGACAGATAGGTAGTGACCATCAGCTCCTTACAAAAATTCTGTTTTCTCTTCTTTCTGGGACGTGAGTAGTCTGCATCTCCTAGCCTCCCCTGAAATTAGGTGGGATCGTGTGCCTGAATTCTGTCCAATGAAGTAAGAGCCAAAATGAGGGTGCCATTTCAAGGCCAAAGCTTTTAAGATGTGGGTGTTTTCCCTGCCCGTGCTTTTTCCCATCTGCAAGCAAGATACAGATAATAACTAGGCCATAGGGAACGGCAGACCAAAAAGGTGGAAGAGAGCTACTCACTGGCCAGGAACACTGCCTTGGACTGCTGTGTGAGTGTGAAATAAAATTCTATTGTGTTGGAGCTGGTATGCATTTTTGGGTTTATTTGTGCAAATGTGTTGAGTCTGCATTTTGGGGTCTATTTGTTACCACAGCCAAGCCTAGCCTACCCCGATTAATACAAGGCCTGATCACGTAGGATCTTCTAAGTTTTGTAAGGAGTTTGAATTTTAACTGCAGTGGGAAGCCACAAAAAAGAATGAAATATTGCCATCTGCAGCAACATGGAGGGACCTAAAGATTATCATACTAAGTGAAGTCAGACAATTATCATATGATATCACTTCAATGTGGAATCTAAAAAAATGACACAAATGAACTTATTTACAAAACAGAAACAGACTCATAGGAAACAAACTTATGGTACCAAAGGAGGAAGGTGGGGAATAAACTAGGAATTTGGGATTAACAGATACACACTGCTGTATACCTGAAACACTGTTAATCAACTATATATCAATTAAAAAAAAAGAGAACTCCTAGGTTTTTGGTTGTGTATGGTGGTGCCATTAAGGAAGAATGAAAAAAACTGGAAAGGAACAGAAAAGATTTGATGAGGATGGAGGATAATCAATGGCTCTTTTAGTTGTGTTGTTGGAAATGTCTATAAAATCTCCAAATGAAGACGTCAAGTAAATAGCTGCATATATAAATTTGGAGCCCAGAAGAAGATAAGGTTAAAGATACGTATTTTAGGCTCACCACGATGATAATACTTAAAGTCGTAGGCCTGGGTCAGCTCTCTCTGCTCTTCAGACACAACTCAAAACTCCCTAGCCTGTCATTACACGGTCCTCCACACCTGGCTTTAACCTGCCTTGTACCTCCAGTCCTCTACATACAAGGCCTGATCACACAGGATCTTCTAAGTTTTGTAAGGAGTTTGAATGTGTTTCAACTTGCCTCTAACACCCTCCCCTCTTCATCATCCAAATATTACCCATTCTTTAAGGCCTGTGTCAGAACCTCCTGTGTCAAGATTTTCCTAACACGACTCCAATTTGAGGCGCTTTCTCCACGTTTTGGTTTTCATAGTAATTATTTTTTATGTATCTAGTTCAGAAAAGGTGAAAGTCACATTTTGCCGTACGTCATCTTTTCTATTAATGTCTTAAATCTTAATTTTCACATATTTGTTCCCTGATTGTCCAATTAGATGATAGGTGCCTTAAGAAAAATCACATCTTGTATTTCTTATAGGACCCTAGTATAATGCCATGCATGTGGTGAGCATTCAGTGAGTACTTGATTTGACATCTTTTAAAAGGCAATGTGGTAGTTAAGACTTTTTAGAATATTTCAGCAAAATAAAGAAAGCAACACTCTTAAAGAGACAGACTTAAATCATCTGGAAAAAAACCGCTAACTTAAAAACAGTTTGTCCACCAACAAGGCTGACGAGTAAGGCATTACTGTACTTAAAAGAACATTTTAATTCTCAGCGAACTTACCTATATCAATATCAGTAAACCCTTCTGCACTTATTGCATCCATTGTGCTTTTGTCTATTGTGTCTAGACAAAGACTAGCAAGCTGAGGTTCATCAAATAATCGAGCCTAAACACATAAAAAGACAGTTATTTTATTTTCATAGTTATTTTACCTTCAGACTGTACATATTCAAAGCTAATACTGCAAACAGTTGTAATTGCTAATTATGTAAAAACACCTACTCAAAATACAATTATAATTCTATATATTCTTAAAACGTTTCATTCCACAATCAGAAGTAAAAGCTAACAGCACCAACGTCCTGCTGTCATATTATCAGTAACAACCCTGTTATTTTTATTTTCATACGCATATGTATGCAATGCCTAATTTCTTATACATTACTTATTTTGATCCTGAACCCTCTAGGTTAGATAAGGCAGACACGATCCCATTTTCCAGATGAGAAAACAGAGGTCAGAGAAGTGTACTAACTTGCCTAATATCATCTACCTCGTTATACTCCAAAGCTAGTACTTAAATTCAAGTCTTACAGTCTTTTCACTGAACGAAAACATCAATTGCTAAGCATACAAGTACAAACAGATCAGACTTTTTTTTCCATTTCCTGTTTTGATTTGGGGGAAGAGAATGAAGTACAAGAATTTCAGAGCATGAAAGCTCTGGGAACCCAAGCAAAAACTAGGCCTGACAACAGAAGAGCAAATAAATAAATTCACAGGATGGAATATTAAACAATAATGAGAATGAACAATCTACAACTACACACAACAATATGAATGAATCCCACAAACTTTAATGATAGGCAAAAGCAGGCACAGTATATCTGAGCAAAGAGTATATAGCTGACCCTTAAACAACTTGAGGGTTAGTCACTCAGACATGTTTCCTTTCCAGTACCTACTGCTGCTACTTAAGAGTAAACTAAATTTTCTCAAAATTTAGTTTGAGTAGGCATTACCTGATAAAACAGCACTATTTTTATGATTGTATCACTTCATAGAAAGTGTTTTTCCCTGGGTAATCTATGCTGGTACAGTATACTGGCCCTTTGTTTTTAGAGGGAGGCTGGCATAGGTCCTCTCAAGTAAATGAACATGCTCAGTTCAAATGACTCACTTGGCAGGAAGAAGTTCACATGACAATCTGTGGGCTAATTCACATGACCCCACCAACGAAAAATTTGGAGTAATGTTGAGTTCTCAGATCAACAATGCACTGAAACGTTCCTTTCTTCCCCAGTGACATCTGTTAACCCTTGCTACTCAAAGTGTGGTCCAGAAGTACCAACACCATCTGAAAGCCTGTTAGAAATGCAGATTCTCAGGACCCATCTCAGCCAACTGAACTAGAATGTGTGTTTTAATTGTCAAGGTTTAATTGATTGGTTTCTGAATTTTATGACTGAATTTTTCAAAATAAAAGTAGTTGTGATCCTCTCTACACACAATAAAACTCATTAGACAATAAAGAATCTTAATGACTATCAACTTCTTTATTAGATTTTCATCACAAATTCAAAAGAGGAAAAAATGCAGGGAGATAACACTTACTAGTTATATAATCTTGGTCAAGTTATTTTACCTTTGTGTGCTTCAATTTCCTTATCTAATAAATGGGGCTAATAAAATTTTTACCTAGACCACCTACATCTCCTAAAGTTACTGTGAATATTAAATGCAATGTGAATTAATGCATACGGAGTACTTAGAATGGTGCCTGACACACAATAATCACCTAATACATTTTGCTATTATTATCATCAGTATCACCATATCCAACTGGTTTAAGGTTGAGACCTTACTTCTACCACTTGCTGACTAATGTTATATAAGATATTTACCTCTTTAATATACATTTTGCTATTATTATCATCAGTATCACCATATCCAACCGGTTTAAGGTTGAGACCTTACTTCTACCACTTGCTGACTAATGTTATATAAGATATTTACCTCTTTAAGCTCTCATTTCATCTTTAAAATGGGAATAATAATAGTAAACAACACCATAGCGGTAATGAGGAGTAAATGTGACAATATATACAAAGGGACTAGCTTGGTGTCTGGTATACAATATATATAGACATGAAGTTCTTTGATTATGTCCAAGAGGTGACATCAGCATGTTCTTTCTCCTAGAACTATAAATACTTGATGACCGAAGATTAAAAGAAAAAAAAGGTGCCATCAGTCATTTTCGGTATAACAGAATGGATGCAGAACAGGGAAACACGAGCTCTGAGCTCCGGCCCCACTTAGCCTATTGAGACTTTGGGCAGGTAGTTAACCAGCCCAGGTTTTAGTTCTTTCATTTGGAAAAGGAAGGTTAAGCTAAGGAACACCCATGATTATTTACACTACTAATACTCAATAGTGATTATACATTATCAGCTTAGACTTTTTAGCCCTCATTTTAACTTCCTTGCCACTATAAAGACTGTATCTCCAAATAAAGTCACATTCTGAGGTACTGGGGACTAGAATTTCAACACATAAATTTTGGGGGACACAATTAAACCCCTAAAATGTGGTTACAGACTAGTTTAGGATTTTTAAAACAATCTGTAAAAGGGTATCACAACATTGTCTAAAAAGAAAAACAATAATGTATTAATATCTAAAGTATGAAGCTCAGATTATAGGCATTTAGCAAATGCTAAATAGTTTATGTTAAGAACTGGTTAATGGTTCCATATATGTGTTCAGTCTGTAAACATTCATCAGACTGTACACTTAGGATATGTGCACTTTTCTGTATGTATACTATACTCAGTGAAAACTTTTTCAAATGTCAGAGAAAGAATATTCTTAAATTCTAATTCCTCCAGAAGTGGGTCAGCAAGCCTACAGAGAAGAAAAAGTAAATCTTATAACTTGTCTGGATTTGAAATACTCAATCTTTATTTTGGATCCAACAAAAATTGAGAACAAAAATGTTCAAAAAACTTCATGCTCTCCAGGAACGACATGGAATCCTAATCTCAACCCCAATTCTAAATAGCTACGTAACTTTGAGTCATAACACCCTACTTCCATAAGGTTTCAGTTTCTTTACCTATACGATATATTAATTCTAATTTGCTTTTCTATTCTAAAATCATATGAATCTGATGTATTTTCCTGAATGATACTATAAGATTTCATATGCTTTAAAATAATGATCCAGGACTAATTCTCCAGGAAACATCAAATATTCATATATACCTTTACTCAATTTTTGAAGCTAAATAATACATACCATAGCTACATTTACTTACCTGAGTCAGTAACATAAAGGCATTATCTGCCCTGAGATGTTTAGTGAGAAATTCCACACAATGTGCTTCCAAGGCTGGGACTGCATATTTCTTAGCAGTGTAAAGAGTAGTCATAACTGTTTCTGGGCCAATTTGAACTTCATCTGAATACAGAAATCTGGGAAGCAATTGGAAATTTCAGAGATGGTCAGTAGTGTTTTAGATAAGCAATCCATCAGAGTTAAACCCCTGAGGAATATTTTAAAAGATAATGAACAAAGTGAAAGATAACCTGAAGTGTGTATCAGACTTTGCAAGACTACAGGGCATTTGCACTTACATCATCTCATTTTATTCATACTCAACCCTGAGAGGTAGGAAGTCTCTCTGTTTATAGAGGAAACTGAAGTTAAGTGAAGATCATGAGGTCTTCACATCTCTAAGCCAAATTTTTAGAGGTCTTTCAGCACTCCATAGCAGCTTAGGATGACAGCGGTTCACTGATCTCTCCTTCATCAAAGGATGTTCACTTAAGCAAATCTACAGATGGCTGAAGTTCATATCTCTAAACGTCAAAACATTCATTTATTTCCTGATAATGGTGTCTTCTTTTCCTGGGCATCTTTTAACCTTTCACTATTATCCTAGAATTAGCATCATGACCAAGGACTAGAGTACTGGGGCTTTGGAGGAATCAAACAATTTAATAGTATCTTAAATGATGCCACATTGCTATGTGCTTCTGGGTATTTAGGTCCAATTTTCTCTCAAAATACTATCAAACCAATACTGCCTCCCCTCCAGCTGGCTGCTTCTGACTGCTAGGTCACCAGATAAACCAGCTTCCTAGAAGTGCAGATACAGTGTAAGATTCTCAGAGAAGGCCCGGGCAGTTCCTGTCGAACTACACTAAAGCTGCTGCATATCCACTTTCGGCCCCCTTTCAGGCTCCTCAGAGACGCTTGTGCTTGCTGCCCCGTTCTCAGCTATACTCAGAATAGCTGAAGATGCTGGAGGAATGAGGCGTTAGGACAAGAATTTCACTTCAGCAGTACTAAAGATTTAGAACACTTATTACACTTATATCCCCAACACCCAACTCATAAAAGAAGAAGAACCCATTTAAGAAAACCCTTTAATATCTTTCAGAACACTCTATACAGTGAAATGAGTGCGGAAAGTAAATTCTATTTCATGTCCCTGCTCTCTACTTTTCAATTTCTTCTTTTATTCCTGTGGCCATAATCACTACCCAAGATGAAACCCTACCCTGTTACAACTCCTAACTTCCCACCCTAACCAAATGCTAGCAGTCCTCTAATAAATCACCATCTTTACAACTACCTCCAGTAGAGGCTATTCACTCTCATACTCTCCTGTCTCAGGTCAAAAGTGAAGGTTGCTGATTTTCAAGTTTACACTGTTTTCAAACATTTTTTTCAAAACCTCCTCAAGCCAGCCATCTGTATCACCCTCATAATACTCAATGTTATATGCCACTTGGGGATGAGTACAGAGAATTAAAAATACCACTAAAGGCACAGCCCCTTATAGTCAGGGGTAGGGGGATGAATAAAGAGAGAAAATTCACATTTGTTGAGTGTCTACCATGTGACACGCCGATTTATTTAATCCTCTCACAAGGAAGGTAGGTGCTGTTACCTGCATTTTAAAGATGGGGAAACAGAGCTGACGAAACACATGAGCTCCATAACACACCATTTCTGGGCTTCTGACTGCTTCCAGAGCTAGACTATGGGGCCAGCCAGGTGACGGCTGTTTTAATTTGCATGGACTCAGGAAGAGATGACTTGAGTCTGAGCCTGTTTCATCACTTGCTAGCTATGTGATTTTTAGACAACTATTATCATTGTGTTCCTCTCTGAAAAGAGATATGAATAACAGTATCTACCTCATAACACTCTGGTGAGGATTAATATCAATCAAAATACATAAAGTGTTTTAAATAATGCCTGACAAATACTTAGCCTCAGTAAATGTTAGCTATTTATTTTTACATTGCTTCATTTTTTATCTCTGCTATTTTCCTCTGCATTTCAGATTTCCTTGCCACTGTCTTCTAGCCCTTCTGTTTTTCTCCCTAGCAATCACATGTTTAAATTTCTAAGAATTCTCGTTTCTTTCTTGAGTGTTCCTTTTTTTCCTTCCACACCATCATGTCTCAGTTTTGTGGATGCAAAAATGTTCCCAAGTCTCCAAGTTTCAAAAGTTCCTTTCTGTTCCTTGAATTACCTAGTTCCTTGAGGATCAGCTGTTCTTGGTCTTTGTTATTCATATCCAGATTTTCCTTTTATGTCAAAAGATTAATGATTATCTCCAGTTCAGTATTCTGGTAGCTGGTACTGTTTTCTTTGCTGTTGTGTAAGGAGGTCTATTTTCCAGCTAAAACCTTCTCCAAAATGGAAAGATTGGCTGGGAGCTGTGCATGTGGAAGGGAAGTTGACTGGCACCTTACATGAGAGTAGGAAAGCAGCCCTGAGGTTAGAACCCCCCCCACACACCCCAATGCTATTACCCTGGAGTCCCTAAGCCAAGCCAGCATCCTAGTTCTCCCCAAGTGGTTGGTCCAGTTTATTTTAAGAGGAGCCTGCCAGTTGTCACCAGGACTTAGCATACAAGAGCTGGTTGAAGGGATGGTCTATAAGCAGGCCTGAAATTAACGCCCATATTTTAGCCCTAACTTCTCATTTTCACCCTCCTCTCTGCCAACTCTCAACCTAGAACTGTGCTGGGGTTCAGCCAGGAAAGAGAGCTCCTGCCTCCACTGTAGTTCTTCATGCTCAGATTCTGGGTTCCAGACTCATCCACTCCATTTCCACCAACACACTCCCAAACTGCTCTGTCCCTTTTCTACATTGGCGTCCAACCCCTCCCCTTTTTCCTCTTCACTCTAATGGACTTATTCTTTTTTATTTCTTTATAGTCACTTTAAACTGAGGGGGGGGGGAAGCTAACTCTAACTTAGTTCCCTTCTTAAATAGAAACCTATGAAGTTTTTGTTTTAAGGGCAAGACAGGAAGAAGCCTTTACCTCTGTCAATTTTTTTTTCAGGCAAAATTTACTAAAGTTATAAAATACAGAGCAGAAATGTGGGGCCTGTATTACCACTTGCCTTTGTGTTTGAGTAGATTCAAACTTAATGAAACCAGTTCCACAAAGTTGAAGTACATAGTTTTGTAAGAATCTATAAACTTGGGGATATGGGAGATCTGGAAAAGATTCCTAGAAGAATTTCTACTTGAGATCTAAAAGATGAAAAGAGGGTGGGAAGAACATTCCATGAACAAAATAATTGTGTTGGGACCACAACCCTATTCAAATTGCTTTTTTTCAATTATACTTCGGTAATTCATCTTTGTCTTGTAGCAAGGAATATTTTTCAGAAACATCCATATTTGCATGTAAAGTTGTAGACTGAGGATACCATTCATCTAGTAACACCTTCGTTATGAGGGGACTACATCAGGAATTTTTTAAAATTGATCTTATCAGATACAGTTGTGTATCTTCTAAGAGGTTGGTTTGTTTTTAATCTAACAAACACTGTAAATTTTTATACTGAGTAGCCAGGCATTAGTGGCAAAAATGATCAAAATTAACTTTGCAGAGCACCTACAGCATGCATTTTTGTATTAGCTTCATCTTAGCTCTGTTTTATTTCTTACCCTTGTGTTTCTTGTAAGAGTCTTTCTGGAGCAATGCAAGTTATAAATAAATACTAGACTATAAACAACAAGAAAGGGAACTCTGTGTTTCTTGCATTTTTTCCTACATCCTTCCTGCCGCGCTAGGCACGGTATGGGCACCCGGCTAAGCTTACTGAATAGGTGTTAGCTGACTAGACAGTTCAGCACAGGTTGCCATCTAACACTGATAGGGAAACTGTTTTCGTTTCTATTAAGAAAAAGGCTACTTAAAAGTCCAACAATCATCTTGGTTCATATATTATTTGCATGCTTTCTCTACGTTATATTTAATTACTAAAATTGCTATAATAAAAAAACTGTATAAGCCAATGTTTACAAAACACAATTAAAAATTAAACATAACATTACCACAATACTTTGTATTTTAAAGTGAACATTCAGCTCTGATGCACTACCTCTAAGGATAAGAGCAGACAGAAATAATTACAGGTCATCACACTATTTGTTTTATCCCCAAAGATTAGTGGCTTTCCAAAAGATAAAACTTAGGTTACACTTAATTTAATTTAAAAAATTAAAAGACTGAGGTGAAAATGTCATTTTAAATTAGAAAACCACAAGGTCACGTACAAGGAATTGATCAGTACTTGACTGATTCACTCATTTTACTGAAAAACATTTATTGAGGGACTATATAATAATAGACACTGAGATAGGTCCTTGAAATATAAACATGGGTAAGACAGCTCTGCCCATAAAAAGCTTATAGTTTGGTAATAATTAAAAAGTAATGTCATAATTATAACAGATCTATACGTTAGGCACAGTTTGATAACTAATCTCTAAAGATGGCCCAAACAAGTCATGCCTTCTATTATCTGTGCCCTTATACAGATTTGTCCCATAATGAATTTAGGCTGGTCCTGTTTAACTCCCTTTAACCAACAGAATGTGGCAGAAGTGGCACTAGTCAGTCTGGGGCCTTAAATTTGAGGATGGCTGGAAGCTCCTGCTTTTGTGCTTTCAGAAGTCCTAAGCTGCTGCTATAAAAAGTCAACCTACCTTGCTGAACAGCGGCAGAAGCCCTGCAGAGACAGAAACGGGCTCAGCCATCCTAGAATCCAAATCAAATCCCCACATGACTCCAGCCACAACAGCTATCAGTCTAAGACTACATGGGAGACCTGAAGACTATGCTACAAGAACCTCCCATACAACTGTGAAAGATAATGAAACCATGCTTAAGCCGCTAAGCGTTGGGCGTGGTGTGTTCTACTGTAATAGATAGGAAACTTGCTATAAGAGATTAGACAGATTTACAGGCAGAGTGTAAATCTGCTGGGGGTGGAATTAGTGGTGTTTTATAGACGAGATAAGGCCTGAAGTATATCTGAAGGGTAGTAAATAAGTATGGAAATCTAGGCGGAAAGACTAAGTACAAAGGCAAAGAGGCTTTAGAAGGCAGCCATTAAAATAAGAAAAAGGCCATTGTTAGAAGTGGGGCATTGAGTAAATGGAGAGGAAGGGGAATAGACATCAAATTATAAAGGTCTTGTGTACATCTGCTAAAATGTTTAAACTGCATCCTACAGACAAAAAGAAGTCATTAAAAGATTCAGAGGAATTGTGATAATATCTGGATATTAGAGAGATAACTTTGTTAACTGTGTGAATAATGGTGAGAGCTTAGGCAATGGTCTGTTCGAAGCAACGCCAAAAAAAAAAATTAAGAGAAGTGAGTAGAACCTTCCAGATTGGTCCAAACACGATGAGAAACAGGTGTAGCAGACTAGAACCAAACTACAGGTGGGTCAATCCCCAACAGACCCACAGAACAACAATATTCAAAGGAAGAATAAATGATTATTTTTTAAACCCCTGAGTTTTGAGGTGCTTTATAGCATTACTGTGGCAAAAACTGACTGATACAGGGCATAAGAAGTGTGCCTGCCTCAAAGACTTCTGAAACATTGAGTGACTTCACACAAGGTGCTTAGGAATGGTAGATGGCATATGGCAAGCACTAATTAAGTGTCAGATATTTTTATTGTTGACATGTCCATCTGCATGGGTACTAGACATTCATTTGTGAATGTCCAGCTGGAAACTGGGTTCAGGCTAGTAGAAGTTTGGCAATATGGCTGTGGGAGTATGTAGTGCCATGGGTTAATGGGAGAAAGGAGGGCAACTGAAGATAAACCCTTGAGGAACAGTTACCCCGTGTCTCCTTCCAGCCACCACTCCATTTCTCTGTTCCTCTTTGCAACACAACTCCTTCAGGGGATCATTTATGCCAGCTGTCTCCAACTCCTCACCTCGTATTTTCTCCCCAATCTACTCAAATCCTTTTGTTGAAATCACTCTTGCGACGGTTATCAGTAGCCTCCATTTTGTTAAAACCAATAATCCATTCGGTGGCCTCATTTTATTCAACTTTCAGCTGCATTTAACAGAGTGAACAATTCCCTCTTTATCTGAACACTTTCCTTAACTTAACTTTCAGGATGACATGCTCCTTGCTGTCCCACTGACAGCTGTCTCAGTCTCATTTTATGCTCCTCCTCCTCTGCTACATCTCTACATGTTGGAGGATCCCAACGTCCTTCCACGGGCTCTGCGGCCCTGCATGATCCAGTCCAGCCTATCTTTGTGAGCTCATCTTCCACCACTTTCCCCCTTATTCTAACTGCTCAAATCACACTGGTTTACTCTTGCAGTTCCTCCCACAGGAGAAATTTAGGGCCTTAATCATATTTTTCCTTCCCTCATGGCTTGATCTATTCCTTAAAACATTTATCAGTACTTGATGCTGTATCTTTGTTTCTCCTTACTTGATTGTAAGCTCCATGAGGGCAGGGACCTTCTCTTGTTCCTGGTGTATTCAACATCTAAAACAGTGACTGGTAAAAGGGAGGCAGTATTTCTCAAATGAACAACTGAAGGACATTACTTAAAGGTCTGGCAGATTAAATCAAAAGCCTTTAAATAATGTTAACCAGTTCAAGTTGAAAAGATAATAAAAATATGTACAAGCTAACCTGCTTTTCCACCTCAGCAAGTGCTATGAGACACCTTTTTGTCACACAGTAACAGACACAGCATCTGTGTTGCTATATTAAGCACAGCATCTGTGTTTCACAGCCGCCAATAACCTGAGTTTAAAAAATTGGTACAGATACCACTTTCAGAATAGAACAATGACTAGAAACTGAAGGACAAATGCCATGACTACACTGAAAAATGCAAAACTTTTAAAGGACTCAAAAATAATTCACTTATTTTCTATTGATGGGAAAGGTTTGACTGATTAACAGCTTCAGGGAAAATATGAAGTCAGCGTTTTCCCTCTACAATCTCAGTATTTTTTAAAGGAAAAAGCTACCCAACAATAGTTCTAGATCAGTGGCTCTCAAACTTAGCTAGTATCAGTATTTAGGGAGAGTAAATACACTCTCAAGGTCTCACCTCGAAACATTACAATATTTTAAGAAGGGAGGAAGAGATCTATGAATTTAACAGTACTCCAAGTGATTGCCATGCAGGTGGACCAACAGGTCATTTTAAAGTTCTTCCAGTTTAGAAAATGTAAATGAGCTATAAATGATCCTCCTGGTCAACTTCAAATCAAAACCAAAATGACCTAGAGCCTAACTTTTGAGCTGCTTTTTCCCCTTGAACTAAATTACAAAAAAATATGAGAAACAAAGAGAAAAGAAAAAAGTCAATATCATATTACCATTCCAACATCTGGTTAGTATTTTTGTATGTTTCCTTCTATCCTTACCTCTAGGTATTTTTGCTGTTTCTTTTCCCAGTGTTTAATCCTAGCAGTTTCAATTGTTACTTATTAAACACATTTTCCACATGAATGTTATTACTCAGCCTTCATAAATATACTTAGTAGCTGCAGTTCATTCCATCAAATAGGCCTGTCATTGTTTATCTAACCATTCTCTTTGCTTGACTACTTTCTCACTATTATAAATAATCCTGCCTTAAATATTTTTGTGTGGAACATCGTTTCAGTGCTTGAATACTCCCTACCCGCGGGGAAAACCGTCTACAGTGCCAAAGTGTTCTACCACCACCTCTTGTCAGAGAGGGCTCCTAAGATGTTAGCTAAAAAAAAATTGGAGGGTTTGATAGAAGAGGAAAAGTACTTCACTTTAACTTGCACTTCTTTAATTACTAATGAGGTTAAACAGTCATTCTTAATTATCTTAATTAGTTTTTTATTTCCCTAAATTATCTATTCTGTTCTTCAATCTATTTATTAAATGGATCTTAGTATTTCTTTTATACTTGTGCTAACTTTGTATTCCTATTGACCTTCCTGTTTGAGCTGTGAGCCTTTGTGGAGTATTTATCGGTTCCACTGACCTGTTTTTGTCCCAGTACCACCCAAGACTGCTATTTTAATGACACATTCTACTCAGGCAGCTAAACCTATCTTGATATAATGAAACACACATTATCTCCGGTATGAGTTGGCACTGTTACCTCGTCAAGTTAACTTGACTTCTTTGGGCCTCAGTCCAATTTGTAAAATTGTAGAAAACGATTCCTTCCTAAATGGACTTCTGCGAATAAAAGCTAGTAATGCCAAACTATTAGCTCCCTTCCATTAAACAAAATTAATCAGAGTCAATCTTCTATCCCCAGGTAATCAAAAAGCAAACTCTAATACCGATGGGGAGATTCGTTTTTAAGCAATCGTGCGACCTTGTCTTCAGAAACGCAAGGTAGGGAAAGCCAAACTTACTTGTTGGATTTTGACAACTAACACTAAAGAAGAAGGCGTCAGAATTTAAAAGAATAAAAGAGGGGGAGGGGTGTCATCGGTCCTACAAGACTTTCCAACTATCCCTCTCCGCCAACAAAGACATAAAACGTTGCAAATGGGCAACTGGGACAACCTGACCCATACTCTTTCCTCACCACTTCTCTAATTCCCAAGCCTGGGCGGCAACCCGCTCCTGGAACGTGAAAGTGCCTCTCAACCGCAAAACGCACGCTAAGAGGACGGGGACACTAACATTTACGCGAACCACCGGCGGACAGCCATCCCGGCTGACAGATTCCGATTTCGACCTTTCGACCTTCGCGAGCATCACTGGCTCGGGAGGAAACTGAGGCCCAGGGAGGGTACGGAGAGCCTCGCCCAAGGTCAGCGGGGAGTTGGGGCAGGCCGGGCTCGGAAGCCCGCCGCTCACCTCAGCAGCGCCAGGAAGGCGGCGGGCTCCACGTCGGGCAGCTCGATCTCGGCCGACGTGGTGGCCATACCGCCGTTGAACATGGCGTCGAAGACGGCGCTGCCGGCCGCCAGCACGAAGCGGTGGGCCGGGATGCGCTGCG